ATCTCACAATTAATCGGCTTCTATATCGCGATAAAATCGTCAATTTTTTCGGGATTTTCGCGGCATGGATAGTGCAGTATCAAATGATGTTAAATTATCTAGCCTATTAAAATTCTGTCATTTATAATGACTATATTCTCATCCAAAAATAATCGTCAGTTCGGACGATTTTATCGCGATTTATCGAAAAATAATCGTCGATTAAATCGCGATAGATCTCACAATTAATCGGATGCTAAATCGCGATTAAATCGTCGATTTCCCCCCGATTTTGATGACATGAATCAATACTACTATTCAGATTCTAATGAAATCTACTGATTTATAAGTTTTGAGCAGATTGTGAGTTGAACCTAGCTAAATATAGGAAGGAATCGTTTTATTAACTTCTGTACGATTCTTGAATAGAATCCTAAAATAAGAATCTGAGCAGTCACCTTACAAGAACCTGCAAAAATATTAACTAGATCTGTGTATTATCTTATCAAAATTCTAAACATATTTGTACCTTTCTCAATATTTTCAGACACTTGCTCTTGAATATTTTCTCGCAGAATTCATGTCTCAGATTTGTAAGATTTGCTAGTTGTAAATTTTGTCGAATCTTGTATTATTCCTTATGTGATCCTTTTCTAATCTAAGTATGACTCTTGGCCAGATGTCTGTATCAAAATTTAAAACACATTTCGACTAAAAACTGAAAATCTTTTCTACAATCTTTTCATAATTCTTGACAGAAGTTTAATCAGAATTAAAAATAAATCTTAGTGGAATGATGCAAACATAATTTTGAGAAAACTCAAGCAGGAACTTGAACAAACTCTTGAGAATTTGAGATTCACCTTGAAAGATCGATGTGAATAATAATTCTAGAAGAATCTTCGAAGTTCTTCCAAAAAACAAACACGGCTTCGTACCCAGGTCGAAACGGGTACATCGGATCCCGTCGGACGGGTACTAAATCCGTTGTAATTCAGGTCACCGGATTCGGTCGGATATACGTTGTCGGATTCCGACGCTATCCGTTTTTTCCCTTCCATATCCGTAAATCGGATCCCACAGACTCCGATCGAATTCATATGCTCAGAACCGGTCAGATCCGATCTCTGAATCTGACTGTTTCCGACCAGATCCAGAAGGATCCGGTGTCAAGAAATAGTCGGAATTTACAGTTCACACAACACCGGATTCCATAATAGATCCGTTCAATTACAGCCATCGGAAACTGCCGGTTCATGTAGTAATCCATCGTATCCTTACATCGGATTTGTTTGTCTTAAACAACAGAGATCCGACAGGATTCAGTTAAGGTTCCATATCGGAATTAGCCAGAAAATTATATATGCAACTTATCTGAATTGATCATATATTTTGTAAAAATTAAAATTTTTTACATGAATTGGAAATTCATTCTGGTATCCTTTATTGAGTAAAATAAAACCAAATAATCAACGTGGTGATAATTGCATCACATATGGTAACAATTACGAAATATCAGTAACTATAAATAGTTTCAATAAGTCAAGATAATGACTTCTTCAATATTCAACAATTCAAATACGACATAAAAGGGTAGTATTTCAAATATTAAAATTTTTTTTCAATAATAAATGCATGTGAACTTAATTCATAATTTCATAATCTCCCATGATAATTAGAGATTTATATTAATTTTAATTTATTTCATGTTATTGAAGATTATTTTGTTTCTTGTTGATGATCATATTATCGCCACACAATGGATAAATAATAAACAAACATCGTTTAGTTGTCATTAGTTATATGAAGTCATTCTTAGCTGACTAATCTTAATATAATGAATTGAGATAGTTTAAATTCGAACAAAAACTAACTAAAATCAATCATTAATCTCAAGAAATGAAGTCAAAATCATGCCAAAATACTGCCTTTTTAAAAAGATTAAAGTCGTTTTTTAATAAATTTCTAATTAAATAGCTGATTTATATAACTTTTTAATGAAAACTACTAATGGATGGCTACGATGAATAGTTGATTGATTTGGACGGAAAACATCTGGCCAAAGACCAATAAAATTATAATGAAATATTTCACTTTTACTTAGATTGTTGATGTTCGTTGTAAACGTCCTGTACATTGCTTTTTTTTTATAATTACAAATAAATCCAATTAAGTTGTATTTCCTATTGAAGTTTTAGAACGGATATGAAATATAGCCAGTAACTTCGAAGAAGTGTTATGTTATAACAATATTTGCTCAAGTTACGTTAGTGATATCTAAGGACATTTGTAAATTGTATACTGATTATAAGATATACTTTATAAAATTTGGCGAGACTCAATTGGTTTCTAGAATGAAGAAAACAAGAACCGTCTATTAATATGCTAAATAGTTTCATTTGTTTTTCGATCATTTTATACATTCAAAATTTAAACATATAGATAACGATACTTTTTTTACTTTTCGGATAGATTTTAATTAAAGATTTTAACGTTTTGTTACACTATGGATTTCGATGTTGAACAAATTATTGATTTTGTTGAACACAGAAATTTTAAAAGATCATTAAAATATAGTGAAAAACAAAAGAAAAAGCGTAAATTGTATTTTGAACAACCATCAAATAACAATGAATTATCTGACGTCATTTCTTCATTTCCGCTTCATATCGATCTAAAACCAGCACTGACCAAAACCACGGAAGATAATTATTTTTTGAAGAAACAAATGTTTGAAAATCTTGATCATATGAATCAAATTGAAAGTATCAATGCAGATGACGATGATAATGATGATGAAGTTATCGACTATCCATCTGATGATTCAAAATATTGCATTGATCGTGATATTCATCCTGAAAATTTATTACATTACTATATAGATATTTCGACAAATGAATTTTGTTCAAGTTTATTAAACTTATTGAGAAAATCTAATACATGCAAATTACATGCAAATCGTTTATTATCATTTATTAGTTCAATACTTCCAGCACCAAATAATGTACCGAAGAAAATGGAACATTTATTAAAACAACTAGAAATAGCAAATGATACTTTCAAGAAATATTTATTTTGTATAATTTTTAAAGAATATCTTTCATTTGAAAATAAATTTTGTTCAAAATGCTCACCGAATGATTCTAGAAGATTTGCTTTCGTTTATGATATGAATATAGAAGAAAGTATCAAAAACATTTACATACGATTGGAAAGAGATATCAAAGAATATCAAAATCAACTCCGACTTATGGATGATCAGGATCTTACTAATGATATAGGATTTAACAATCTTTATCAACAATTATTGAGAGATAATTCAAATGATAATTTTATAGCTTTTTTATTAGAATTTTGTAACACATCATTGAATAAGTCTTGAAAATTTGTCATATGTTGTAAAATAACTAAAAAACATTAAAAAATTAATGAAATTTCAACTTATACACTTACACGAACAATTTTTTTCCACAACCTCCAAACGTTGTTCAAGACCAAAACACTTCTTTTTCAAATCGGATATTTCAATATCGTTATCAGTATCAGTACCATTCGAATACAGGCAATCAATAGATCTTTTTTTACCAACTTTAGTTAAATCATCTAAATTAATAAATCATCTACAAATTAAATATAGATACACATGATATTATATTTGTTGTAACAACATCATTGCTGTTAATATTTGGACCACCTGGATTTTCATTTTCTTTTCCTTCACTCGTTTTCTTCATCATAGCTTTTCCACGCGTCATAATCAGTAGGAGAATCTAAATATAAATTATGGGTAGAAAAAATTTGAATATATATTGGTATACTAGTATATTGTTTTTCGTGTTTGGCTATAATATATTATTAAAGTATGCAAGTGGAGGAGTCTCATCGTTAACCTCAAATATTATTTTTTATAACTAAATATAAATAAAATTCAATTAAATATAAATTTTTCATAAATATCTCAACAAAATATTCAATCACATGTACATATGAAAAATACAGATGTCCGTATCATACAAAGTTGTTTCATATAATAAATTACTGATTGCTAATCTACCGATCTCTATTAATTTGTTATGGTCAACAAGGTCCCTACGAATTCGTAGTTATAACTATTATCTCTTTCTATTCAATTACTGATACGAAGAGTTAATTATAATTACCAACTCTGTTAAATATTTGAGAAACTAAATACGAACATCATCAAACTGGTATTATCATCAGCATCACATAAAAACTATATAATACAACTAATAAATTGATTATCGACAGCACAACTTTTCAAATCCGCTTTCTTATAAATCTTAAAAATCGACCAACTTTGGTCTTCAAGCAAAACATAAACACTAAAACCTACCGCAAGTTGTTCTCATCCATTTCTCGATCATCTATTTCCACATTTCTTAAATTCGCCCTACCCCCATCATTAATCAAAACCATTCCAAACTACAAACTTATTTCCTACACTACGCTTAACTTTCAGTCCAGAAAAGAAATACCTTAACCGGGTAATCTAGATTATGCTACAATTATATACACCGTCTTGTTATCCAGAAGTTCGTCTATATATATAAGTCACAGTTTTAGGACCAAAATCAAAAACAAAATTATCGTAATTCAGTAATGTATAATTAGGT